ACTAGCTAAAAAATACAAGGAGAAATCCAGGGCCTTCGCTCGAAACGTCGAATTTCTGCTTGTATTTTTCACGTAGTTGCATCTCTATACCAACCGAAGTTTTGTTAATTATTATTGGCACTACTTATACACTGGGGCTTCGGTGATGAAGTGGTTAGCGCACTTGCCTTTCACCTCTATTAAGGTCGCAGGTTCAAATCCCAATGAGAATTTCTCAATGCGACTCGAACCCAGTCCTCCTCATGTAAAAAGAGTAAAAAGTCAACGCTCTGCCGAAAGTCGTGGGTTTTTTCCGAGTACAACGGTTTCCTCCCACAGGAAAGTTGACAGGGTGGGTTAGGCACATAGGTTATAGGGGGCAGATCATTAATGAGGTATGGACTAATAGCGGCTACTTAAAGCGCCATTTGTAAGCTCACAGTCTACCTCGGTCTGCTTCACGCCAGTTCCGGCTGTAATTGTAATGCGCACTTGATCATATACATATGTAAAATCGCGCAATAGAAATATTATTATTATTATTATTACTGGCACAGACCTTCAAGATTGTAATTACTTACTTAGCCTAGACTATTTTATCTTTACAACAATTGTGGTATTACTTTCTTAGGAGAGACTTTTTTATTCATTGGTTTACGGATCCGCCGACCGTAAATTTTCAGAAAGTGAATAATAAAAAAAAATTTGGATATCAACAATTTTACGATTTTAGTTAATTTGGGGGTTCTGGGGGCACACCAAGTAAACTTTGACTCTAAGTACTGCTGGCTCATGTTATCGTTGTGATAGTCTTGAAAAACATTGTTTTTTCCGATCTACCGACCTGGCTTTTTTTTTAAGTCAAATCCGCAAACCAACAAATAAAAAAAGTCTCGCCTTAAATGTGTTTATCCTAACCCACCCTGTCAACTTTCCCTGTGCGAGGAAACCGGAGCACCCGGAGAAAACCCACGACTTTCACCTTTCATCAGTAGCGAGAATCGAACCCACGAAGCCCCCCCCCCCCTTTGTCCACCAACAGCCCTGGATTGGTGACGTTTATGTAATCCGAATTATTTTTCTCACAGAATTTCACCCTATCGCGAGATGAATACGGCATAACTCGTATCGAGGATTTGTCTCAGAGAGATATGGAGAAAGTTCGTTCACTTGCCCTCATTGAACTCACCGCTTTATTCGATCAAAATAACCTCGTCTTTAACCGCAGAAAACCAACGAAAAGGAAAACTAAAGGTACGTATATGTAAAGCCGATTTTCCACTAGTCGGAATTTTGGGCGCGAAGCGGAAATTTTTCCTTGTCTTGTGATCAGCGTTGCCAACTGTAATTTTGTAAAAATCCCAAGTAAGCTCCCAAAATATCCCGAGATTCCCTAAAAAATCCCGATATTCCCACTTTTTTACGTCATTATATTTTAGGTGGTTTTCGCGCCAATTTCGGGTCATTGAACTAAAATATATTTTAGTTCAATGTTTCGGGTAGGATAGCTTCGTACGTCATGTTGTAAAAACGAAATTTGACATCAAATATGCAGCTCAATATAGGGTTTAAATACTAGCGGACGAACCCTGGATTTTTAACAAAATTGTTTATTTACTAAAAAATTGACTTCCAAATTTCGAACTTCCCTTTCTCAAAAAATCAAAAAAAATCCCGAGATTGACTTTTTAAAATAGAAATCCCCCCCCCCCCAAAAAAAAATCCCAACTGCTTCAAAAAATCCCGAGATCTTGGGATAAAATCCCGGACTTGGCAACGCTGCTTGTGATTTTGGTAATTAGAAAAGATGAAGAAACATTCCGCTCCGCTGACCGATCGGAGGTGTTTGAAAGATTTTCTAGCATTGATTCTCATGCTATGTATATAAATATTGTTTAGAAAACGGTATATTTGGTGTTCCTCTCCTCTACCTTGTTCAAAGAGATCGTGGTGAAAATTCAAAGTTTAACACACCTGTTATCCTTGAAGAGGTGAGATAAGCTTCAGTACTACTGCACATACGTCCTACCACGTTTGTAAATTTGAACCCCTTTATTCTCACTGGTTAATTAAACCTTTCCTGATTAGATCTAGAAATAACCTATTAGGTGTAAAGGCCCATTTCCACTGCGGAAAATTTTCCGCAGAATGAAAATTTTGTAAAATGTGATTGGCCGACACAAATTTTCCGTCGGAAAAAATTTTGAAGTTGAAAATTTTCAACTTTTAACAATTATATTTTCGGAAAATTTTCTGTCCATGGGAAATTTTCTTGAGTGGAAATAGACCTTAACGTAATATTCATACCATAGTCTGGTTATTGTAACCAGGAATCTGGCCTGGTCATATTTGGCACCAGGCACGGATTTTCTGGGGGGGGGGGGCGCCCCCCCAGAAATGATTTGCACACCACCACCCCCAGAGGCATTTGGCACCGCCCTCAAAAGTTTTTGCACCCCCACAAATTATATATAATTTTGATTTGATAGTTTCATATTTGATTATTCTTACTACTAAATTTGTAAAATTACCAATATTATGGTCTCAGATCTCGCCATGCAGGCCTAGAAAACAGATTTTGTTAAACTTTTTCCTTGGCCTTTCCGGGCGTTGCCACCAGGCCCCGGCCAAAGCAAGCAGCAGCACCCCCAGATATTTATCCACCCCCCCACCCCACCCCCCGAACGAAAATATGAAAATCCGTCTCTGTTTGGCACTCTGAAATATTGCTCTCTTTTTTGCTCTAGATGATTGCTTTTCTCGAGAACAATGGTATGCAATACTATGTTTTTATTTAGTGTTTTATGTCCTTTGTAATTTTTTGTGCAAATTGTTTATGTACTGTAGTTTATTGCTTAGTCAGCGGAGCTTTGGCCGTATTTGGTGGCAAACCTTACGGGTTGAAGCTAAAATTACGGGCAGCCAACATACTATACTATTTTGTATTTTCAAAGCAAAGTTCCCGTTGGCAGAGAGCCACTTTGATTGACAAATAGTACAATATTAATATTGGCAACGCCCATGAAACGCCTATTCTTAATTATACTCGCTATCTTTACCTCGCATTGTGATTGGTTCGCTTAAATAAACAACTTTGTGGGCGTATTACAAAATAGTATAGAATGTTGGCTAGCCTATTTCTACCTTCAACCCGTAACATCTCCCTCCAAATACGACCAAAGCTCAGCTGGCTATTTATTGCTCAACTTACTGTATAGACCGCTTGCAAAGTTATAACTGCAAAATACAGTATGGGGTTTTTGGTCATGTTTTTTCGCTCATTACTGATATTAAACCGTATGGATGCCGTGAACTCACATACTTTAAAATGTATGTTTTTAGGTATAAAAGAAGAAGGTATTCTACGTGTACCTGGTTCCGCTGCGAGAATTCGAGTAAGACGCCATTTTGTGTCAACTCTTAGGCTATAGAGTTATTAAAGGTGCCCTACAGTCCGTATGTAAACAAAGCCTTTGTTTACATTTTTGTGTCCAAAATATTGAGCTTTATTCGACAACTATTTATATTTTCAAGCTTCTAGAGTATAATAAATGATCAAGAAACAACAATCAGGCTTTGCAAGAACCCAAAACGTAGTTAAACTGTTTGTATCATAAAAAGTGGGCTCCTTTGTGCACATGCGCAGATCGGACTGTAGGGCACCTTTAAGTATGAATTTCAAACTCAGTAATAATTCATGAGTAAATTAGCCAATCGTATCGCTTTATTTTGCTCACATGATTATACTGGATACCTAGTGAAGTATATTGATCCAGTCCTAGGACTTTGATCAAAATTAATTCAGTCCTTGGACTGGATCAAAATTAATTCACCTCACTTTATGCAGTGATTTATTCGTATGAGATGTCATTTCAAATCCTCCAATTCGTACTGGACTAGATTTCAAGTCTTCGCATTTTGATCTAGACTTCAGACTTGATCAAATTGGGCGGACTTGAAATCTAGTCCAGTCCTTATACTGTAGTCGGATTTGAATTATTACATAAGCTGAAGTCGAATGGTTGTGCAACACTTTTTGGGTTCTTGTTATTTCAGAGCATTCGCGAAGAAATCGAAGAAACGTACCCGGACGGACTCTTTTCATGGTCTGGTCGGAAAACGCACGACGTAGCGGCGTTGTTGAAACAATTTCTAAGGTAACGAGACGCTGTATGAGTCACACAAGTGACTACCAAGGAATAAGATCTTTAGATCTGGTTGGCAAATTTAATATCAGATCTCCTTATATCAGTGAGGACTTCATTGATTGACAAATTAATCCACGCATTGAATTTTTTCTCAGTCGCCACGAGAGCTATATCTGGTCGCCACACTGGGCGCTAATCTTTGTTTTGCCCCTCCCTCCCACCACACACACTGTGGAACGTTTAAAATATCACTGCCCTGTATGAAGTGTTAGGTCGCTGGACCTATGGAAATATGCAACTTTACATATATGCTTATGTGTGGTACTACAACCTTGAATTTCATAGCCAAAGGGTAATGGTGAATGGTTGAGATACTGTAACTATTAAACATTCATGACCATCACTTGTGTTTACATACCAAGGATTCCATACAGCATACAATTGGTGTATGATTACACTAAAGTTCTTCCTTGTCAGTAGTGATATGCCACTGTCCAATGGACCAATCCCCAATTAACCAAAATTTTGAGCTCAACAAGTCTAGACAAAATTTCATCACAGCATGAAAGAGCATCACAACATTTGTAATATTCCAAAGTTTCGTTCGCAAAATGTTGTAAAATGCGGATAATATAGCCTTACGAAATTTGCATGCAATTTTCAGTCATTTTGTATTACGAGCGGGAAACGGTTACCACTTTTCCAAAATTTTGATCTCAACTAGCCTAAACAAAAATTTCATCACAGCTTGAAAGAGCATCACAAAATTAGTAATATTCCAAAGTTTCGTTGCGAAATGTTGTAAAATGCGGATAATATAGCCTTGCGAAGTTTGTAATTTTCAGTCATATTCGATGTCATAAACACGATCAACTTTGGTGTTTATGACGTCGATATTCGACGTCATAAACACGATCAACTTTGGTGTTTATGACGTCGATATTCGACGTCATAAACACGATCAACTTAGGTGTTTATGACGTCGATATTCGACGTCATAAACACGATCGACTTTGGTGTTTATGACGTCGATATTCGACGTCATAAACACGATCAACTTTGGTGTTTATGACGTCGATATTCGACGTCATAAACACGGTCAACTTTGGTGTTTATGACGTCGATATTCGACGTCATAAACACGAACAACTTTGGTGTTTATGACGTCGATATTCGACGTCATAAACACGGTCAACTTTGGTGTTTATGACGTCGATATTCGATGGAAATATGCAACTTTACATATATGCTTATGTGTGGTACTACAACCTTGAATTTCATAGCCAAAGGGTAATGGTGAATGGTTGAGATACTGTAACTATTAAACATTCATGACCATCACTTGTGTTTACATGCCAAGGATTCCATACAGCATACAATTGGTGTATGATTACACTAAAGTTCTTCCTTGTCAGTAGTGATATGCCACTGTCCAATGGACCAATCCCCAATTAACCAAAATTTTGAGCTCAACAAGTCTAGACAAAATTTCATCATCACAGCATGAAAGAGCATCACAACATTTGTAATATTCCAAAGTTTCGTTCGCAAAATGTTGTAAAATGCGGATAATATAGCCTTACGAAATTTGCATGCAATTTTCAGTCATTTTGTATTACGAGCGGGAAACGGTTACCACTTTTCCAAAATTTTGATCTCAACTAGCCTAAACAAAAATTTCATCACAGCTTGAAAGAGCATTACAAAATTAGTAATATTCCAAAGTTTCGTTGCGAAATGTTGTAAAATGCGGATAATATAGCCTTGCGAAGTTTGTAATTTTCAGTCATATTCGATGTCATAAACACGATCAACTTTGGTGTTTATGACGTCGATATTCGACGTCATAAACACGATCAACTTTGGTGTTTATGACGTCGATATTCGACGTCATAAACACGATCAAAAACACGATCAACTTTGGTGTTTATGACGTCGATATTCGACGTCATAAACACGATCAACTTTGGTGTTTATGACGTCGATATTCGACGTCATAAACACGAACAACTTTGGTGTTTATGACGTCGATATTCGACGTCATAAACACGATCAACTTTGGTGTTTATGACGTCGATATTCGACGTCATAAACACGAGCAACTTCGGTGTTTATGACGTCGATATTCGACGTCATAAACACGAGCAACTTCGGTGTTTATGACGTCGATATTCGACGTCATAAACACGAGCAACTTCGGTGTTTATGACGTCGATATTCGACGTCATAAACACGAGCAACTTTGGTGTTTACGACGTCGATATTCGACGTCATAAACACGAGCAACTTTGGTGTTTATCACGTCGATATTCGACGTCATAAACACGAGCAACTTTGGTGTTTATCACGTCGATATTCGACGTCATAAACACGAGCAACTTTGGTGTTTATGACGTCGATATTCGACGTCATAAACACGAGCAACTTTGGTGTTTATGACGTCGATATTCGACGTCATAAACACGAGCAACTGTGGTGTTTATGACGTCGATATGCACTTCAATAATATCGTTTGTTCGTGTAGGTTACTGTACTTCATGTTGACACGGGTAAAGAGGCTGTCGTCCCTCTGACGTCATTTATAGCACTGCCAACAGAAGCGAAAGCTATTCCGTTTCAAGCCAGACCTGCGCAGTTGTTTGGTGTTCCCCAAGGCACTTTGGCCCAATCTTCTGAAGCGTTGGAAATGATGATACAAAATGCAACTCAGGTTTGTAATGGTTTAATATATGCAGGGTGCATATAAAGGAAACTTCGCAGTTTGAAGGGAATGACAATATAAATTTCTATTTTCTCATTCGAAAGAACTTTTGCAACTATATATTAACTTCGTTTACCGATTTTTCATGTCTTGCTTAGTTCTTGAAATATTTTCACCTGAAGTAACGAGATGAGCATATAAAAGTATATTTGTTACTTACCAATATATTGATTGTTACCTGTTTTAAAGGTTTTGAGTGATCTTGATATTTCGAAGGGCAGGCAGAGTATAGTTTTGCATGAGTGCAAAATGATTAGTGGTGTTTGTCTAGATAAAAATATTGCGTGTCCCTGTTGTGACGTGACAG